TATATTTGATCATTTCATATGCAGCACAAATTGCACCTGATTTTGTTCAAATTGAGGATGAAACTTATCTTCTAGATCAAGATGATGATAAAGTTTCCACAAAACTTAGTGAGGAGACAGCTCCATCATCACAAAAAAGTGATCAGTCAACCAAAATGAAAACAAGATACAAAATGGTTGCAAGGAAAAACAAAAACAAAAGCCTTGTTGTTGTGCCAAGTGGTAGAATTACAAGGAGCCAAGGTAATCATAATACTTTTCTGTTACACAATAAATATTACACTTTCAAATATACTAACATAAATTTTTTTAAAAACAATAGATGTTCTGTTAGATGAATCTAAAAAGGGAAGCCTGAAGAAGGATGTTGAGCCTGCTAAAGAAACCGCAAAAATAGGACAGAAGAGAAGAATGTCTACAAGGAATTTTCCTATTCAAAAGGAAGCTGATGCACCACCTCCAGCACCTACTCCAATAAAAAAAATGGCAGGTGCTCCTGCTGAATATCCTCCAGACCAAGGCAAAAAGGGTAAATGTTCAATCTTAATGTATAGAATGATCATTTATGATGGTATATCATTAATGTTCAATTTCAATATATAGGTGGGAAAAAGAAAACTCTAGAAGTGAAGAAAACTTCTAAGGTTGCTGGCAAAAGAAAAGCAGGTATATAATGATATATTATAAATGTTCAATTTCTATATATAGAATGATCATTTGAGAAAACAATTTTGTTCATTTTATCATTTGCTTACTGTACATTTTCAATACTTAAACAAAATTATATATTTAATTTTCAGATGTCAGTCCTGCCAAGAGAAATGCTGGAAAGAGAAAAAAAATACAAGAAGTACCATCAGATGAACCCTCTCAAGATCCTGACAGTGATGATGATAGTGAAGAGTCAGTTTATAGAGCAGAAGAAGAGCCTGTCAGTGAGGATGATTATGAGGTGGAGGAAGAGGAGGAAGAGGAAGAAGTAAAGCCAAGGAAGAAACAGGCAAAGAAAGGGAATTCAGTGAAGGCAAAGGTTGAAAAGGAGGAGCAAAAGATGGTACTGTATGATGAAGGAAAGATTGAAGGTAGGAGAAAAAAGAAAATGAAAACTGAAATGGTTCAAGCAATAGAAACTGATGAAGTTGAGGAAATTCAGGAAGATGAATTTGAGGAAGAGAAATCTTCAAAGAGAGGAGGACATGTGAAGTTCATTGCATGGATAAAAAAGATGACACCTACCCAAAGACAACAAATTATTGATATAGGGTTAGGATCACTTCTTGACATTAGTTTACCTCAACTTGATCAAAAGTTCTGTAACTGGTTATTGGGAAGTTTTGAAGAAAATAGCCAGTATTTTGAACTACCAAAGAATGAAAAAATAGAAATTGAGGTAGAGGATGTTAGGGTAGTTTATGGCTTGCCTACAGGAGAAATTCCAATTGTTGAGCCAAAGTCTGATAAAATTAGTGAGGAGTATGCAGAATTTCTGAAGAAATGGAGAAAATCATGGTCAGGAAAAACTCCATCAGTGAGTCAGGTATGATCAGTTTTAAATGTTCATTTTAAATACATTAAATGATCAAAAGTATAAATGTTTTGTTCATTTTGTTTGCAGATTGTGAATGGATACATAAATGATAAATTCACCAACAACAGACCACCAAGTGAACATTTCATTACTAACTTTTTAGCAGTGGCTGTGAACTGCTTGATGAAATGTGTATCAAACAATCAATGCCATTTCAAATTTCTTTATTCTATGATGGACAAAGAAAACATAAAAAATTTGAACTGGTGTCAGTTTGTATATGACTCACTTATCAAATGTCATGTTGATTGGAGAAAGCAGCAAGGCAAGGGGTTCTACAAAGGCCCTCTTCAATTTCTGATGGTATATTCTTAGATACAAGATGTTCATTTAAATTTAAATAAATGCACTTTTTTTTTATTGTTTATGTTCTGTTCCATGTTTTCTTTTTTCTTGTAGTTGTTCTATTTTGATAGAGTTCAGAGGTTAGACAAAAGGCCTCCAAGAACAATTCCTATCATATCTGCATGGAATAGAGACATGGTTCTTGAGAGGTTGAAGATTGAATTAGAATTGGGATTTGGGAGAGGGAAAATTCTACCAAGGATTGCTGCAGAAGTTGAAGAAAGTCCTAAGGTTATAAAATGATCACTTTTGTTAACATAAATGTTCATTTGTATAATCTGAAATGTTCAACTGCATAATTTTTAATATTCATTCATATAGGTTTTTTATGGATGATTTTGTTTCCCTGGTAAAAACAACTTGTTCAAACCTGTCAAAGCTTTCTTCAAAATTGGTGAAGGCAAAGGATATCTTCCCTGGAAATGACTTGGTGAAAAAAGTTGATGAAGTTTTAGGAAAGGTGGTAGCTAGGGAACCATCAATTCTAAGCCAAGATGAAGAATTCTTTGGCAGTGAGGATTTCCTAAATGCACTTGCACAAGCTGAGAAGAATCTGATGCAAGGGTCTGAAAAGCAAACAACTGAGAAGCAAATGACTGGGAAGAAATTAACCAAAAAGGGAAAGGAAAAAGAACAAGAATATGACATCAGAAAAGCTTTCAGCTTGGGGTTGACTCCACCTTCTCCAGCCATTGGTAAATTCTAACTAAAAGAGACTATATATCCTAATTTTTATATGAAAAATTCTAAATTTGTGGTCTAAATTGTCCTAAACAGAAACAGGGCCCACCTTTTCAACACTTGGTGATATAATTGAACAACCAATAATTTCAACAAATGGTAATATGTTCATATATTTAATAATAATGTACATAAACTTAAGTAGAAATGTTCATTTCTAATTATTATGTGTAAATACTATTAACTTAGTGTATCTCCAAAATGATGATTTATAATACAGCTGGAGAAAAGGATGTGGGTAAAACTTCAGCAGCTTCAGAACAAAGAATTGAAGAATTTTCTAGAACTGGTATAATGTTCAATTAAAAAGTGTAAAATGTTCATTTACAAACAAGAAATATTCATTATTAATTGTATTATTTTGTTAGACGCAGCAACTGGTTCAAAACTTGATGCTGACACTAGGTCAGATAATGAAGGATTGCCTAGAACAGGTATAATGTTCAATTATAAATACTCAAATGTTCATTTACAAAGAAATTATATTATATCTAATTAAATTTTTTCTTAGATGCAGGATCTGGTTCAGTGGTTGATGCTGACCCTAGGTCAGATGGTGGTGAAAAAAGTGATGATCCAAAAAACACAGTTGGAGGTGGAAAACAAAACAAGGAAGATGTTTTTGAAAAAACAAAAAATGATGAAAAAGTGGAGGGGTAAAATCCTGAAGACATGTCTTACTATTAGGGTTATGTAATGGTGTAGGATAAAATATCTAGATGGAACAATTTAACTTATGTTACTATCGTGTTGTAACTTGAAACTGGTGTTTCTCAAACTATTGTATGTGTGAACATTATTTTGTTGAATATGTAATATGAATGTGTGGTTTATGTTAAATCAATAGGTTTATGTTAAATCAATATCTTTCATTTTATGAATTGAAAATGATTCAGGGTGTTACATAAGAAGCTTTTATTTTATTAATATGTACTGACATTGTTTCACTTTTCAGTGAAAACAAGAAGATTGTTGCTTCATCCTCAAAAGTCACAAAAAGGTACATTATTTATATTAAGTAAATGTTCAAAAATAATAATGAACATTTTCATATACCTAAATGTACATTTGTGTTATGTAATATGACCAGGAATGATGATAAGAAAAAGTCAATTGCAGAAAAGAAGAAAAAACTGAAAAGGAAAAGGTTGAAAGGTATAATTTCAAATTTATTTATATACACTCAAATGTTCATTTATGTTCCTCATAATTTTCTTAATTTAACAATATTTTATATTGAACAACAAGACCAAAACGCGAAAAGAAAACACTTCCTCCTGCTTTCCGATCTCCTTACTTGGTCAAGTACAAGGATCTGTTTAAAGATGAGAAAGCCATGAACCAAATTGCAGTAGACTTTGCTCTTGGTGGAAAAGATGAAAGGTAATTACTTACACTAATTAAACTTAAGGTTTAATATCTTTTATAAAATATGTTCACATTCATATTATTAAATGTTCATAATGCAGTGCACTCTTATACTATGATGGCTTGAATCTCATCAATAGAAATGAAATGAAAACTCTTGGAGATGATGTTGAAGTGACAAATTGTGTCATAGATGGAATGGGCAAGGTTTCTTAATCATAAAAAGCGAGAAACAAGATTTATTTCTCAACAGTGCTTCATGTTAGTCTTTCTTCTTTTTTTATATTATTGATTCTATTTTCCTATGATAAATAATTGCTAAAAATTCATTTAACTTCTATATGTTTGTTTGTATTTCAACAGCACATTATGTGCACAAATAAAGTTTGTCAAGAAGGATCATCAATGAAGACAAGAATTAATGCCTTCATAGAAAGAATTGACAATGAACTGAAGTTGAATAAAATTGACAGCATTGTTGGATATAAACAGGTATTAATTCTTGTTTAATACAAATGTTCAATTACCTTCAATATATTGTCCAATAACATTATATAATTTGTTCAGGTCTTCTTCCCAGTATCAACTTCTCAACATTTTTTTCTGTTGTGCGTCAATCATATAGAAGACAAAATTCATATAATTGACAATAGAAAACTACCAAAAAGGTATCAGTCCAAGCAAAATATGAA